TGTATATGTAATGAGAGCATACAAAATTAACTGGCACTGTTTTGCAGGGTTCAGTAACATTTGGGGAAAGAATTTCAGGCAAAATAATCATTTGAAAAGCAGTTTCTAATGCTCCCATCCCAAAATCCTTTCAGAAGTCATCTGGGCTAGAAATTCCCCACCCTCTCTAAAAATGTGCACGGGCCAAGAGCCAGAGAGCTGGGCCCGGGCCAGGAGCCTCACAGCCTTTGTGTGAGCAACAGTCCAAGCGCAGGCAGCTGAGGGCCATCTGGCCCCTCCGGGCTTCTGCTTCTGCTCACGGCTGATGGCATCTGGGACACCACAGCCTGGAGATCCCAACACTTCTGGACCGGTGGCCCGGGCTGGCAGCTCCGGTTCCATCCGGCCGCGCAGAGCCCCCACGCTGCCCCTGTTCTGCGCTCGGGGCCTGAGGCTGAGCACTTCGGCTCAGGCTGGGTCTCCCTCCTTCACCCAGCTGTGAAGGAGTGTGCACAGGAGCACCCCGAGGTCCACACAGGACCCACTTCAATTCCAGCCCAGCGCAGGCAACAAGCCACTTGGACAGAGATCACCTTCAAAACGCTGGATAAGGAAAATTGCTGCACTGAATTTTCTTTTTATTTTTTATTTTTTTTTTTTTTTATTTTTGGGTCCGGTCGTGGGGCCTGAACTCTGGGCCTGGGCGCTGTCCCTCAGCTCTTCAGCTCAAGGCTAGCGCTCTACCACTTGAGCCACAGCGCCACTTCCGGCTTTTTGCTTTTTGCTTATGTGGTGCTGAGGAATCGAACCCAGGGCCTCATGCATGCAAGGCAAGCGCTCTACCACTGAGCCACCTTCCCAGCCCAGAATTTTCTTAAATGCTACTGCTCCACAAAAAGAGATGGGGTGGCCAGGTACCAGTGGCTCACGCCTGTCATCCTAGCTACTCAGGAGGCTGAGATCTGAGGATCGAGGTTCAAAGCCAGCCCGGGCAGGAAATTCCATGAGACTCTTATCTCAATGAACCACCAGAAAACCGGAAGTGGTGCTGTGGCTCAATTGGTAGAGTGCTCGCCTTGAGCTGAAGCGCTCACAGACAGCACCCAGGCCCAGAGTTCAAGAGACAGGGCATTAAATCCGTCCTCCAGGGACAGAAGCCAAGATGGGATAAGCCATTCCGGAGATGCTTTGAGAAGTGAGAGAGGGAGGAGTGGACGGAGGGAGAGAGAACAGGGGCTCTGGAGCAAGCATGTGTGGGGAAAGGCTTGGACAGACTCACCGCAGGTGCCTGGGCCCTGTCACGCCTCCACGGGCCCGGGCTCCCACACCAGAGTGGGCCTGGCTCAGTCCTGAAGTGCCTGGCCTGCCAGGGGCTTGCGTGCCATTGCTGGGCTGGGGTCTGCACCAGCTCTGGTCCAGCGCGGGTCCGGGGCACAACCCCTCCATGACCCCAGAGGAGCCTGGGGTCCTGCAGGGAACAGTGGGTGGGGCTCTGGGGGGACAGAGTTGACGGGGTTCTGGGAGCACAGTGGACAGGGTTTGGGGACACAGTGGACAGGGTTTGGGGACACAGTGGACAGGGTTTGGGGCACAGTGGACAGGGTTTGGGGACAGAGTTGGTGGGGATTGGGGACACAGTGGACAGGGTTTGGGGACACAGTGGACAGGGTTTGGGGCACAGTGGACAGGGTTTGGGGCACAGTGGACAGGGTTTGGGGACACAGTGGACAGGGTTTGGGGACACAGTGGACAGGGTTTGGGGACAGAGTTGGTGGGGATTGGGGACACAGTGGAAAGGGTTTGGGGACAGAGTGGACAGGGTTTGGGGCACAGTGGACAGGGTTTGGGGACACAGTGGACAGGGTTTGGGGACAGAGTTGGTGGGGATTGGGGACACAGTGGAAAGGGTTTGGGGACAGAGTGGACAGGGTTTGGGGCACAGTGGACAGGGTTTGGGGACACAGTGGACAGGGTTTGGGGACAGAGTTGGTGGGGATTGGGGACACAGTGGAAAGGGTTTGGGGACAGAGTGGACAGGGTTTGGGGCACAGTGGACAGGGTTTGGGGACACAGTGGACAGGGTTTGGGGACACAATAGACAGCATTTGGGACACAGTGGACAGGGTTTGGGCACACAATAGTGGACAGGGTTTGAGGACACAGTTGACAGGGTTTAGGGACAGTGGACAGGGTTTGGGACACAGTAGTGGACAGGGTTTGGGAACACAGTAGTGGACAGGATTTAGGGACACAGTGGACAGGGTTTGGGGACACAGTGAACAGGGTTTGGGGCACAGTGGACAGGGTTTGAGGACACAGTGGACAGGGTTTGGGACACAGTAGACAGGGCTTGGGGACACAGTAGTGGACAGGGTTTGAGGACACAGTAGTGGACAGGGTTTGGGGACACAGTGAACAGGGTTTGGGGCACAGTGGACAGGGTTTGGGGACACAGTAGTGGACAGGGTTTGGGACACAGTAGACAGGGTTTGGGGACACAGTAGTGGACAGGGTTTGGGGACACAGTGAACAGGGTTTGGGGCCACAGTGAACAGGGTTTGGGGCACAGTGGACAGGGTTTGGGGACACAGTGGTGGAAAGGGTTTGGGACACAATGGACAGGGTTTGGGGCACAGTGGACAGGGTTTGGGACACAGTGGACAGGGTTTAGGGACACAGTAGTGGACAGGGTTTGGGGACACAGTGGACAGGGTTTGGGCACAGAGTGGACAGGGTTTGGGGCACAGTGGACAGGGTTTGGGGACAGAGTGGACAGGGTTTGGGGCACAGTGGTCAGGGTTTGGGGACAGAGTGGACAAGGTTTGGGGACACAGTGGTCAGGATTTGGGCCACAGTGGACAGGGTTTGGGGACAGAGTGGACAGGGTTTGGGGTACAGTCAACAGGGTTTGGGGACCCAGTGGACAGGGTTTGGGGCACTGTGGACAGGGTTTGGGGACACAATGGACAGCGTTTGGGGACAGAGTGGACAGGGTTTGGGGCACAGTGGACATGGTTTGGGGCACAGTGGACAGGGTTTGCGGACACAGTGGTCAGGGTTTGGGGCACAGTGGACAGGGTTTGGGGCACAGTGGACAGGGTTTGGGGTACAGTGGACAGGGTTTGGGGACACAGTGGACAGGGTTTGGGGCATAGTGGACAGGGTTTGGGGACACAATAGACAGCATTTGGGGCACAGTGGACAGGGTTTGGGGACACAGTGGACAGGGTTTGGGGCACAGTGGACAGGGTTTGGGGACACAGTGGACAGGGTTTGGGGCACAGTGGACAGGGTTTGGGGACACAGTGGACAGGGTTTGGGGCACAGTGGACAGGGTTTGGGGACACAGTGGACAGGGTTTGGGGCACAGTGGACAGGGTTTGGGGCACAGTGGACAGGGTTTGGGGTACAGTGGACAGGGTTTGGGGACACAGTGGACAGGGTTTGGAGCATAGTGGACAGGGTTTGGGGACACAATAGACAGCATTTGGGGCACAGTGGACAGGGTTTGGGGACACAGTGGACAGGGTTTGGGGCACAGTGGACAGGGTTTGGGGACACAGTGGACAGGGTTTGGGGCACAGTGGACAGGGTTTGGGGACACAGTGGACAGGGTTTGGGGCACAGTGGACAGGGTTTGGGGCACAGTGGACAGGGTTTGGGGGCACAGTGGACAGGGTTTGGGGACACTGGTGGACAGGGTTTGGGGACACTGGTGGACAGGGTTTGGGGACACTGGTGGACAGGGTTTGGGGACACTATAGTGGACAGGGTTTGGGGACACAGTATTGGACAGGGTTTGGGGACACTGGTGGACAGGACTTGGGGCACACCCACTCAGGCCTGTCCAATAGTCATCAGTCAGGCTCATGGCTCCAAGCTAACCCTGGCGCCAAGCCTGTGACTCAGAAGAAGCCGTGTGCTGCCACCCACACGCTCAGGCACGTCCTGCTCCCTCCTTGGGGCTTCTAAGAAGGGGGGCTAGCTTCCTGTGCACCCTGGCTTGGCCTGACTGACATGTGTCAGCTGATCTCATCTGCTGGGATGTTCTAGAAAGCTCTGTTCCCACACACATCAAGGCTCAGCCCAGCCAACAGCACTTGACTACATACTTATAGATACACACATGTAAGTTTCGTGCCTGTACAAACACATGAAGGCAGGCATGTGCACAAATGCATTCAACATATGCATGTATGTGCTGTACCCTTATAGCATGCACATATAAACACATGCAGGCAGGCACATACATGAATGTGTGCATATACATGCATGTGTGAGTGCAAATATATACATGTGCTGCATATGTGTACATGTACACACATGGGTGAGTGACTGCATCATACATCTATATATATGTGCATTTGCCTGCATGTAATTGCACACATGTATGCAGTGTACATGTGGACACCAATATATGCAACTACATGTGTGCATTTGTGTGCAGATGAGTGTTCAATACATTCGTGCATGGGTACACATGCACAGACATGATTGTTGTGTTACATGTGCAGAGACTACAATCCACTTTTACACACCACACACATTACAGGGCTATTCCTTATGGCTGCCTAGGACAGCTGTGAACTAGAACACAGGACTCCAGGGCTGTGAGGTAACCCCAGGACTCCCAACATCCTGTCCGTAGCCTTCCTGCAGTCTGCCATGAGGAAGCACAGCAGATGACAACGGTGTGCAGGGTGCTCTCCCCTGCTGGAGCAGTCTCTGGTCAGGGGAGGGTGGGGATGCAGGGAAAACACACGCTGCAGTCACCTCCAAGGAGACACACACCTCTCCCAGCTGTCCAGCGGCACGCCCCTCACCCCTTCCCCATGCCCCCTGCTCCAGCTGTCCAGTAGTATGCCCCTCGCCCCTTCCCCATCTCCCCTGATGGATGTTTCAGACACAGCCTCTTCCCAACTGAGGAAACACAGCAGTTTCTTTTGGAACCAGGAAGCTAGCAGTGACTGTCAAGAAGATGTCAGCTGCCAAGTCTCAGGTGAGCACATAACCTCAGGGCACTAAACCCACAGAGCAGAGGCGGTGAGAAGTCTGTGAGGAGAAACAGCCTCAGGACCTGGAGGAGGCTCTTTTGGGGCACACTGGAGGACCTTTGGACACACTGGAGGACCTTTTGGCACACTGGAGGACCCTTGGGCACACTGGAGGACCTTTGGACACACTGGAGGACCTTTGGGCACACTAGAGGACCTTTGGTTATGCTGGAGGACCTTTGAGCAAGCTAGAGACCTTTGGGCACACTGGAGGACCTTTGGTAATGCTGGAGGACCTTTGGACACACTGGAGGACCTTTGGTCATGCTGGAGGACCTTTGGGCACACTGGAGGACCTTCGGACACACTGGAGGACCTTGGGGCACACTGGAGGACCTTTGGGCACACCGGAGCCCCTCTGGGCACACTGGAGGACCTTTTGGCACACTGGAGGACCCTTGGGCACACTGGAGGACCTTTGGACACACTGGAGGACCTTTGGGTACACTGGAGGACCTTTGGGTACACTGGAGGACCTTTGGGTACATTGGAGACCCTTTGGGCACACTGGAGGACCCTTTGGCACACTGGAGGACCCTTCGGCACACTGGAGGACCTTTGGGCACACTGGAGGACCTTTGGGTACACTGGAGGACCTTTGGGTACATTGGAGACCCTTTGGGCGCACTGGAGGACCCTTTGGCACACTGGAGGACCCTTCGGCACACTGGAGGACCCTTCGGCACACTGGAGGACCTTTGGACACACTGGAGGACCTTTGGGCACACTGGAGGACCTTTGGACACACTGGAGGACCTTTCTGCACACTGGAGGACCCTTGGGCACACTGGAGGACCTTTCTGCACACTGGAGGACCTTTGGGCACACTGGAGGACCTTTGGACACACTGGAGGACCCTTGGGCACACTGGAGGACCTTTGGGCACACTGGAGGACCCTCTAGCATACTGAAGGACTCTTTCGGCACACTGGAGACTCTTACAGCACACTGGTACCCTTGGAGGCAGCCTGGCTCTCTAATTGTAGCAGCAGTAGTTCCAGCTGTCAGCCGGGCCCAGAGCTGTGCTGACTGGGGCTGCCCCATGCTCAGAGGCTTCTCTGAGCTCACCTGGCTGATGTCCATGTCAGCCTATCCCACCTATACATCTGTGTCTTCTGGCCAGTCACAGGCCAGCTCTGTCCACATGGTCTCCTATCTCAGTAGCAGAAGACCCAAGCCTCCACCTCATTGGGTCCTCCTGATGTTTGATGCTTCCAACTCCTTAGCTAAGGGAACCACATGGGAACCCACATTGTTCATGCCAGGCCTACCCCAGGACTTCCTCCTCTCTAACCTCAATCACATCTGAACCATGCAAATGGCAAGGGTCAGACTGACTTCTGTCTGCCACAGGAGGGAGTGGGACTTGGTGGTGTTGGATGCCCTTGGAATTGGTGGTATTGGATGCCCAGGACAGTCAGGTTCCCTGGAGAGTGAGGTTGGTGAGAACCAGCAGAGACCATGGGGCGTCCCGGCCTCTCAGATAAAGTGCTAACCTGGGACAACAGATAGGTCATGTGCCAAGTTCCTTAGTTTCATCGTGGTCCAAAATCTGCACCCCCTGAGTTTGGTCAGAGAAGTCCTGCTGAGCAGAAAATGTGAGTGTCTGACCTCTGCTGCAGTCACTCATTGGAAACCCCAACTCCTTCCTGAATCATGTTCTGTGACTCACACACTGGGACTAGCCACCTTGGGACATGCTCTCTGAGTGACAAACAGGACTCACCAGCCCAAGCTCTGGAAATGGAGCTGAGCTGCAGTTTCCCAGAGCAGGGCAAAGGACAGATTGTGAAGCTTCTGCAGCCCTGCAGAGACCTGTCTTCAGTCCAGGGACAGGGATGGGCACTGAGGAAGGAGGAGGAAGGAAGCCCTGCCCTGGCTGTGCCCCCCCCCTCACTGTGGGGACCTCCCGTCTCTGCAGCTGACTCCTGCCATTCTGCCTGTCTCGGGTTTTCTGGGCTGTGACCACTGTTCAGCACCCTAGGACTCAAGGAGGCCCAAGGCAAAAAGCTGCACAAATGCCCTGACATCCAGGCAAAATAGGGCATCAGGTTAGAGACTGGACAGTCTGATAATCCCACATTCAAATGAAGGACTGTATCTGCACCAATCACAACAGAGTCACACTTATACCAATCAGCAGTCCCACATTCAAATGAAGGACTGTGTCTGCACCAATCACAGACCTTCTGCTGTGCCACCAGGGGATGGCTCCCCCTTGACCTGGGTGGAAATGGCTTTAAGGTCATCTCAACATCACCCAGGCTTGTGATGGCAAAAATCCTGGTACAAGCTGTTTGCTGGGATGGTACCATCACAAGCCTGGGTTCTGTGTTGGCAGCAAGGAGCTATGGTTGTCCTACAGCTTCAAGGTGTCCGTGAGGCATGGCAGCCCCTGCTACAGACGTCAGGACAGTTGGGCTGGCAGCTTGACTGTGGTCCTTTGCACAGGGCACCAGGGAAGAGTCTAAGGACAGTCAATTAGGGAATTAAATCATCTCTACCCCCAATATCTTAGCTTATTTAAAGGAAAAATTAACACTAAACGAGATGCTTACAATAGAGGGTTAACATTAAGAGAATTTAACCATGCTCTGAAAATAACTCCTTCTCCAGTTCTCTAGAAAGAAGTGGGCCCCCTAATCTTCTCATCATAATTGGGAGAACATGGCCACTCAGTGCTGGCCTTGTGCTCAGCAGGGTCCACACTGGGCCTTTGCCCACAGCAAAGAGCACTTGTAGGGCCAGAGTGAGGCCTGTCTTCAGGGCCCTCCAAAAGCACGGACAGCAGCAGCCCTGGGAGCCCCTGATCCTAAGGAATAGTGGAGAACATTCTTGGCAGTCCAGTCAAACCACCCCAGAGAATCCCACAGTGTGAGGCCGGCCTTGAAGTCACTCCAGCTCACAAATCCTTTCCAGCCACCACCCACCACAGTGTTCACCCTCTAAATACAGGCCTGGCACAACCGCAGCTCTGCTCATCCGTCCTGGGTCTCAAGGCTGGTAGACCTCAGACAAGCTGGTTCTATTTAGGACTCCGTTTGTCAGACCATTTAACATTTTCCTCCTGCCAGGAAACAGTCCCCTCAAAGGGAAATGGCCCTTCCCTGGGGCGGATACTGCCAGAAGACTTCCAGAATCTCAGCCCACGGGGAAGGGGGGGGGGCGTCTAGAAGGCCATGTGGGTGCCACCAGGTGCTGCACCACTGTCAGAAAGCCCCAGAGAACTGGGGTGACATGACATGACAATATGCTGCTTTTCCTGATTTTAGGGAGTGTCCTGGGATGGTGGGCAGAGAAGGAACTTTGGTACTCATGTGGTTCCGGTGAGATGCCCATCATCCTCAGTTGGACCTGGGCTCTCTTCCAGACAGTGTTCCTATGGTCCAGGGAGTATCTGGGCTGCACGACATGCCATCTGAGCCAGGGTCTTCTCTCCCTGATCTCCATAGGCCAGGCGTAGGACGGCTCCCTTCTCTCCATGCAACATACACAGTGTTGCTCCTGGAGTCACACAGTCATCCACCACACACGTGTGCTGGATGCACAGTCATACCGGCTACATACATGTGCTGGATGCAAACTATGTTGGCCACACATGTGTGCACACAGTAGTACTGACACTGAGGCCAACAGAAAGTCAAAGCCTGTCTGAGAGTTCCATTGTTTGCACCCTCATGCCTAGGGCAGTGTCACCTGCCTGGGAGCTGTGAACAGCCCCTCTGACCACAGGAACTGCAATATCAACAGGACAGAATAGACGCCATCCTTCTAATAGCAGTCACAATGGTGGTGCTCGTGGTGATAAAAACACGGTGTGAGACAGGCGCCGGTGGCTCACTCCTGTAATCCTAGCTACTCAGGAGGCTGAGATCTGAGGATCATGGTTCAAAGCCAGCCCGGGCAGAAAAGTCCGTGAGACTCTTATCTCCAATAAACCACTAGAAAACCAGAAGTGGTGCTGTGGCTCAAGTGGTAGAGTGCTAGCTTTGAGCTGAAGAGCTGAGGAAAAGTGCCCAGGCCCAGAGTTCAAGCAACAACAACAACAAAAAACACGTGTGAGGATGAGGAAAAGCATGACAGAGTAGAGGTGGTAGTTATAGGGTGATTGGGCACGGGGTATGGAGGTGGAGGTGGTACTTATGGGTGATGGTACACTGACTATGGAGGTGGAGATGGTAGTTATGGGTGATGGTGTACTGACTGTGGAGGTGGAGGTGGTAGTTATGGGTGATGGTGCACTCACTGTGCAGGTGGAGGTGGAGGGGTTGTTATGGGTGATGGTGCACTGACTGTGCAGGTGGAGGTGGTAGTGATGGGTGATGGTGCACTGACTGTAGAGGTGGAGGTGGTAGTGATGGGTGATGGTGCACTGACTGTGCAGGTGGAGGTGGTAGTTATGGGTGATGGTGCACTGACTGTGCAGGTGGAGGTGGTAGTGATGGGTGATGGTGCACTGACTGTAGAGGTGGAGGTGGTAGTTATGGGTGATGGTGCACTGACTGTGGAGGTGGAAGGGTTGTTATGGGTGATGGTGCACTGACTGTGCAGGTGGAGGTGGAGGGGTTGTTATGGGTGATGGTGCACTGACTGTGCAGGTGGAGGTGGTAGTGATGGGTGATGGTGCACTGACTGTGCAGGTGGAGGTGGTAGTTATGGGTGATGGTGTACTGACTGTGCAGGTGGAGGTGGTAGTGATGGGTGATGGTGCACTGACTGTGCAGGTGGAGGTGGTAGTGATGGGTGATGGTGCACTGACTGTGCAGGTGGAGGTGGTAGTTATGGGTGATGGTGCACTGACTGTGGAGGTGGAGGTGGTAGTGATGGGTGATGGTGCACTGACTGTGGAGGTGGAGGTGGTAGTGATGGGTGATGGTGCACTGATTGTGGAGGTGGAGGGGTTGTTATGGGTGATGGTGCACTGACTGTGCAGGTGGAGGTGGTAGTTATGGGTGATGGTGCACTGACTGTGCAGGTGGAGGTGGAGGGGTTGTTATGGGTGATGGTGCACTGACTGTGCAGGTGGAGGTGGTAGTTATGGGTGATGGTGCACTGACTGTGCAGGTGGAGGTGGAGGTGGTAGTGATGGGTGATGGTGCACTGACTGTGCAGGTGGAGGTGGTAGTTATGGGTGATGGTGCACTGACTGTGCAGGTGGAGGTGGAGGTGGTAGTTATGGGTGATGGTGTACTGACTGTGGAGGTGGAGGTGGTAGTGATGGGTGATGGTGCACTGACTGTGCAGGTGGAGGTGGAGGTGGTAGTGATGGGTGATGGTGCACTGACTGTGCAGGTGGAGGTGGTAGTTATGGGTGATGGTGCACTGACTGTGCAGGTGGAGGTGGTAGTGATGGGTGATGTTGCACTGACTGTGGAGGTGGAGGTGGTAGTTATGGGTGATGGTGCACTCACTGTGCAGGTGGAGGTGGTAGTTATGGGTGATGGTGTACTGACTGTGCAGGTGGAGGTGGAGGTGGTAGTGATGGGTGATGGTGCACTCACTGTGCAGGTGGAGGTGGTAGTGATGGGTGATGGTGTACTGACTGTGCAGGTGGAGGTGGTAGTGATGGGTGATGGTGCACTGACTGTGCAGGTGGAGGTGGTAGTGATGGGTGATGGTGCACTCACTGTGCAGGTGGAGGTGGAGGGGTTGTTATGGGTGATGGTGCACTGACTGTGCAGGTGGAGGTGGTAGTTATGGGTGATGGTGCACTGACTGTGCAGGTGGAGGTGGTAGTGATGGGTGATGTTGCACTGACTGTGGAGGTGGAGGTGGTAGTTATGGGTGATGGTGCACTCACTGTGCAGGTGGAGGTGGTAGTTATGGGTGATGGTGTACTGACTGTGCAGGTGGAGGTGGAGGTGGTAGTGATGGGTGATGGTGCACTCACTGTGGAGGTGGAGGGGTTGTTATGGGTGATGGTGCACTGACTGTGCAGGTGGAGGTGGAGGGGTTGTTATGGGTGATGGTGCACTGACTGTGCAGGTGGAGGTGGTAGTTATGGGTGATGGTGTACTGACTGTGCAGGTGGAGGTGGTAGTGATGGGTGATGGTGCACTGACTGTAGAGGTGGAGGTGGTAGT